ATTTTGTCCAACGAAACAGTTTTACATCGAATTCTGCTAGAATTGGTTTTTGGAGCCCCGGTTTTCTTTGGCTCATTTCGTGAGGCGAAGGGGCGCAACTAATCAATTAGGATAAATGGCTGTAGGATCTAGCCATAGGGAGTGAACCCTGCCGTAAATTCTTAAGCTATGATTTGGAGCTGCATTTTCGCTCAAGCAGAAGACTAACTTTTTGTCAATTGTTTTGAATAGCTGCTTGTGAAGTGACTGGGAATAACAGAATGGGCAAGAACTACGTGTAGTATTGAAGGATCTTAGCGTTACATAGGAGGCCCGAGGAGTTTTTCTGGACTTTATGGAATTTTTTGATTGGTTGAATGAATGAAAGAAAGAGGGGAAAGGCATAGAGCGTGTAATACAGCTATCTAGCTGTCGTACAGCTCGAACTCGCCATCGTTGTATTCGTCGGTGTCGTGCGGAATGAAGTGATGAATTAGGCTCTTATTTGGACCATATGCTGGGAAAAAGGTTAGTCGTGGCGTGTAGCCGTCAAGAAACTCTGAGTCGCACTGTTATTGCTCCGCATGGTTAAATTGAATACTGGGAAAAGGTGGCCATTTTGATGTTGGAGTCGATGTGGACATAGAGGTATAAAAGGAATCAGGTGGGTTCAGATGGTATAGATGATTCGTCGTCATATTCAAACGGGAAAACTTCGTCCACTGTCCATTAGCTCAGTGATTTCTGATTTTGAACTCGCCGAGGTAGGTGACCTTGGTGTCTTCCAGATCTTCAAGAACCTCGTCATCACGGTTGGAGTGTAAAAAGACTGGTTGGGGCATATAAACGCCAGTGAAAGTTGTCACGGATGATGTAGTCATCAAAAACGTCTATGACGAATTGTGCGCCGTTTTGAATTGTTATTGTTTCGGTAAAGTGTAATACAACGGGCTAGTAGTAGGCGTCCCTTTCGCGTCAATAGGCGCAATTGAAAAAAAAAGTTGATTTTCTGGGGTTCTTCTGAATTGCATTCGGTATGGTCTAAATGCCATTATAACAATTTCCCTAAGTTGGTTTAATTGGGTGACGGTGAGCTTACACCAATGGCGTCTAATTGGCTTGAAAAGGCCGGTATGTTTGTACAGTAATAGTTTGGTCATCGTGGAAATCAGTGATTCCGGTGCAGTAAATGTTCAACTTTGTCTGATCTGGAAAAATATAGGTTCTAGATGATCTGACGAGGTAGCCATCTACATCAAGAAGAAAAATATAATCAAGAGTAAAAACCGTGTCCATGGCGAGGCAAAATATTTTGGGCAAGATTATTTATTTTGTATCAGAAAAAATCTATAAGTTAAATGTGGAATAGACGGGAGTGAAGAAAATACAAAAAAAAATTCAACGGTTAGTCAGATAGAAAATTTAGTTTCTTTTACGTAAGCAATTTTGAAAAAGACCTTTCACGGAGTTAGTCCGTTATGAAAAGTAACGAAAAAGATAGTGTTATCTCCAAGTGTGGCAAAACTTTTATAAAGAATGGCAAGTGTGTGTTGAGACCCATTGTTATACAAATGAATATTTTTTTTTGGTGTACGTCGGTACAACTGGTTTTTTTGCTCCTTTGTGGTATTAGTTTTGGTCCCAGATGATGGGATTTTTATGCATTTTGTGACTTCGTAAAATTGAAGTATTGTACAATGTTGTTAAATATATATATTTTTTGAGTGATTGTACAAAAATGTCGAAAATTTTTTTATGAACGATAGGGAGGTTGTTTTCCATCGGCTTGTGAAACGGTGTGATTGGGAAGCGAGGAATTGTTATAGGAATTATATCGTGTCAGCTATCAGGGAAAATACTAGGAATGGAAAATGCCGTAGAATTGAAAAAGAATAGTCACCTGTTTGTCCACAGTTTTAAGCATAGGGCTCCGTTGTTTCATTTGTCGTACTGATGTTTTCCATCGCCCTATGTAAGAGTGAAAAATGTAATTTTATTTTGAATAACTGTGCGCTACTGTTACTTCAGTTATTTCGCAAAAAAAAACAGCAAGGTTGGTAATTGAGCAAATTTCAACCATAGTTGCCTGGTTTTATCGAAGTATGCTCAATGGGTGGGAGATAAAATAACTTATATTTTTGGTAGTTTGAAAACTATTTCTTATTTTTTTTCAATCCTTTTTGTTTTCAAGGTAGTTATGGAGAAAAGCATAAGGTATGCTGAGTGATTAGTCGAAACAGAAAACGTAAGTTTGGAGAATTGATCGTCGGGCATTGCCAGTCCGGAGGCTGTCCATTGGGTATCATCGGTAATGTGGAATTGGGTGTACTTGATCTGGTAGATGGCGGTCTTTGGGTTGTTGTGGCGCTGTCCGTAGTATTTCTGGTGATCCTCTGTCTTGAGATTGCTTCAATCTCCGGATGTATTCGTGTAGAAAATTATATGGCGAGCTTTTTTGTTTTATTCATGCAGCAGACTAATGCACTGAGTATTTGAAGAACCGACGTTCCAAAACATCTGATACCTTATGAGGCAATCAATTACGAAGATACAGTTTTTTGAGATTATTGCGCTGAAGGTCTGCTTACTGTATTAAGGAGATGCTATCATTCTTGACGATAAAGGTTACTAAATTTCTGTAACATTATGAAGCCGAAGTTGTGGACAATCAATTCAACGATAACTGAAGGACCAGTTAAAACCGCAACAACACAGATAGCTTGTATTAAAATTTTATAACAATGAAAGAGGCTGAGGTCGTGGTCATTCTATTCCGAAGTAAATTTTAACCAAATGAAACACCAGTGAAACATAGCTTTTTCTGTTAGTTTGTCGCACTGGAATTAGTCCTGGTAATTTTACTATAGTTTATTAGTATTTGTGGGCCCCCACATAATTTTGCTAGATTTTTTGGAGTTTTCAGTTATTTATAATTGCTTCAATAGCTAGGGTATTCATAAAGAAGTTTGAAATACCAGTTGCCGAAGTTAAACCCGTATCCTAAGCGTCTCGATTTGTGACAGAGTCTCAATTTGGGACAGTGCGTATTGCACTTCAAAGTGATATTCTCGGATTCGGTCAGGCCCTGCGTATCGATTCTACAATTGTTTCAAAGCTTGTTCGAGATCATTTCGCGCAGATTCATTAAGATTTGACTAGAACTTGAGTGCTTTTCCGTCTATATGGAGATGTAAATAGTTAGCTTGTTGGTTTTGTGTTTCTGGTATGTGGGCAACAGTGATACTTGCGCGGAGAAGTCATTCGAATTGCTTCGAATTTTCATTAGGGTGTCTTGAGGTTCTCTTAAGTGAAACATTAGGGTGTCTTGAGGTTCTCTTAAGTGAAATTTGAGGTTCTTTGGATTAGCCATTGATGTTAAGGAGATTTAAGGGAAGAAGTTATGCTGATGAATACTCGAGTGGGAGAAATTTCCTGTAATTTTCTTAACTTGCTGTTCTCGCAAGTTGAAGAGTTTGTTTGGCAGTTTTTTGTGGAACGGGATGGCAGTATAGGTTTGAGTGCTTTGGTGGTTCAGAACTTTGATCAAATGGGGACAGCAAAGACGGCTGTACTGAAATTGTCTCTAAATAAGAGTTTGATTTTGATCTCTGTTCTTCGATCATTTACTGTTGCTCTACAGTACGGCCGTTGATGAGCAAGCAGTTGCATTGGTAAACTAGTTGGTCTTATAACCACATTTTGGAATATTTGGTTGGTTAGTTAGTTGAAGAGCTTCATCAACTTCGCATAGGTAGATGATGTGGTTCCGATCGCTGATATGTTTGCTGGGAAGGTTTATTGCATTGGGGACGTCGAGTTCGGTGATTGGAGAAGAATATGCGTGGAGTCAGGTTTTGTGAATAAATGAGAAACATAAACGTCAAGGGAGCTATCTCCGTGATACATAAGTACTCTGGGTTCGATTGTGATAACCTGTGATGTCAGAAATGTGGATAAGTCATGGATTGCTTGTTCCATTGAATGTGAAAGTTGATCGCAGCAAGTTAACATTGTTGCCTAATGATGTCTCGGTACTGAAACATGAAGGTGAGTGGGTGTACGTGATTTTGTGTGAATTTTTTAATGAATCCATCGATTTTGTGATAGTCTTTGTCTCCTGATAAAATTTTGATGCTAAAGTTTTGCGATAAAGGTAAGATAAAGTCCGTTTTTTAAACGTTCAACGTCATTTAAGTGGAATAGGGCGGTGGCTTCCATGTGCTAAGAAATTTTTTTCTTTTAAGATTTTTTGCAGTAGAAGTATGACCATACTGTCGCCATATGGTGATTTTACCATTATCTTGGTGTTATTGATATGATGTTAGAGATAAATTCTTATGTATCCCAGTCTTTTTCTCAGTTCGCCGAAACGTTTTGTTTTCTGCAAGGTAATTATGCAGAAAACAAAACGTTTCGGTATATGCTACGTACTTGATAACCATTTTAGCAGAAAAATTCACTCGGCTGGTGCAAGGTAACGTTCCTGCTGTCCAACATGAGTCTGTGGTTCGACTGTTTTGGGTTTTTTGGGCAAAGTCGATCGTCACTGTTTTTTGCTATATTTATCTTCTTCAATGCTAAATCTTGGGGTGGAACGATTTGTTAAGGTTTTTGCCATTGTATCAGAAATGAAATTTTAAAGTTGAACTCCAATTGCCAAGCTCCAGCATCGTACGTTTTTTTTCTGCGCTTACAGGCAATTTTTGATATCAAGCAAGCTTTGTTCTCATGGTTGCGGTTGAAACTGAATGCTTAACTTCCTCTCGTTTTTCATCTATTCATTGATTCTACTGTTCATATCAAACTGGTATTCTGGCGGTTTTTTTATTTTTGTGTTGGATTCAAGATGATGGAAATAAGTTGAGTTAGATTTGGAATACTTTTTTTTTCTTTTTAAATAGTCTTATGTGGGTTTCTTTTTTCTTCAGTTTCATTTATATAGTATCTAAATGGGTGCGAAGTGTGAAGATATGGCGTTGAAATGTTTTGTTTCTATTCTTTATGCTGTATTTTGGTTTTAGATGAGGATACTACGAAATGACCTAGCGAGGTACAACAAGGACGACATGGCGGCTGCTGGTAGTGGGGGAATGGCAGCTGACGAGATGGACTTCGATGATGCGGAGGTGGGCTGGAAAATGATACACGCAGACGTTTTCAGGTTCCCTTTCGCAAAGAGTCTTCTGTGTGCCATGATAGGTCAGTTCTATATCTGAATAGTTCTCATCTAAGTTCTCTTACGGTTTTGGTCGGCTTTTATTGAGTCTTTTCGCCAAAAAATCTTAAATGGGTAGCATTTTATTGTTAGTCCTTTCAACTCTGCGGTCAGTTCGGCTTCTGTTCTACTGAATTACAAGTTGGGCCTTAAATTTTCTAATTTGGCTTGTGAGTATGCTGCGGAAGCAAGAACAAGTAAGAATAAAAGTAAGACAATGATGATTAAATACTCGTTTATAATAATCAAGAATTTTAATTGCCTGTCGTATGGCATACCAAACGGCTGAGAAGCCTGTATCCTATCTTATTATATGAGAGTCATCACGCAAGCTATTACTAAACAGAAAGCAGAAAGTTTGAAAGGAAAAGGGAAAATCAGCCACAACGTCGAATACATGAAAATAACATTAAACTACTGATGATGATGATAATAAATGAGCTGCTAACATCTTATGAATTTGTTTTTGATCTCGTATAAAGGCATGTTAACATAATTTCGAATCATTAGTTCAAGCTCAAGTTGTAATACATGTTTAGGAGTGGGCACTCAGTTCATCGCCATTGCCGGAGGTCTTATCACCATGGCTGCCTTCGACATGTTCAAAGTACACAAACACGGAACCATGTATTCTTCTGCAGTTCTTTTATATGCTGTCACCTGCTGTTAGTTTAGTCAATCTGCCATATGAATGCAAACATCCCATTAGTCAAACATCCCGTTTAGTCAAACATCCCGAACCGATTAAGAATTATCAAGTTAACTTGAATTTTGTCACACTTTCTCAATGTCGTCACAGCGTTCATTGGATAAAATGTAAAGAAGATAATTAGACAATTTTCAAGTTGAAGGTATTCTGCAATACTGAAATGCCATCAAGGTTTGAGTTAGAAGAATGGGCAATTGGGTGAAAAAGGGGCAAGCAAAAATCTACATCATTGAATATGAAGGGGATCAGCTTTCTAGCCCAGTTTTCTAGCCCAGTTTTCTTTTTGGTCTGCAGTGATGTTTTTTTCCGTAAATAACTTTGTTCACGGGAGCCGTCTATACTCATCTCTAGTCGTACCTTGTTTCATATCTATTCAAAACTCTTAGCGTTCCTGGCCAACTTAGCCTGGAGGTAACGAATATACCTGGGACGGCGGAAGTCCTGGGTTTGAATCTGAGTTTTCTCGCTTACCATCCTGGCAAATAGGGTGTCATAGGTTCAATCGAAACCACAGGTTGTGGAGAACCTACCTTTAGAATTGGCTATGCCCAGTTTGTTTGAGAAGTAATTAAGGTATTCGAACAAGTCAAAGTTTTGAAACAATGGCAGATTTTTGTTAACTTTTTGACTTTACGCTAAAACTAGCGTGCCAATTCTCAGGTTGTGTTCAATCGAGAAACCCGGTTTTGGTTATTTTCTCTGCTTAAGCGGCCACAACCATGGATTTTGAAAAGTTTTTTGACCGTTTTTAGAAAAATTTTGAATTTTCTAAAATTTATTCAATCAAATCTGAGATGTAAAGTTAGTTTAAAGAACCGGATGTAATAATTGTTCCTGCAGAAGCGGTGACTTCTTATTTTTTTGCAAGAGAAATGTCATCTCCTTGGGAAAATGGATTATCTCAAAAAATTTTTATTCTTCGCACTTATTTTAGTAGAGAAACAACTAAAGTTTTGGGCAAAGTCCAGTTTTTGAAATCAGACTTTTCGTGCCGCATAAGTATAGCAAATTGATTCGGTATCAAACACGTACTTCTAGCTTTAGCTGGGCCCCTAGTTGTTTTTTATCGAGACATACGAAAATTATGCTTCACCTAGTTTTTTTCAACTTCTAAAAACTTTTTCGACCTATGTTTTTTATGTTCTGCTGTCTCGCAAGTGGTGCGAAGCTCCGCTTCGCCTCTGTTTTTCATTAAGGAGCTGTTTCAGTATTGAGTGGGTATGTGTCTGTGACCCATTACGTGCAAATGGCTGGCTCCAAGTGGGTCCACAACCTGCTCCTTGTCTGCCTCGTGTTCGCAGCCCCAATGTTCCTCTGCTGGAGTGTCGTCAACTCCTTCCACTGGGCATACCAGTCCACCCAGGCACTCCCATTTTCAACTGTCATGCTAGTCGCCTTCATTTGCATCTTTAGTGAGTCATCCCTCATCTATGATTAATTGCTAATGACACGTTTTCATACATTTTCACCTTTTTTTTTTAGTTCTTGTGACTTTTCAGGAAAATGCTATAATTTATCCTCGCTCTTTAGAGTGATGTAGAAGTTTACTATATAGAACCCCAAATTAGTTTCACGTAAATATGATTTAGTCTATAAAATTTTGAAAAAACAGGCCAAAAAAAGCGATTTTTGGCAATTTTTGGAAAATTTTGACCAAAAAAATTGCGTTTTTTCGACGAGCGCTCCCCCCTCAAAATTAGTATTTATTGGCGCGAAGGCGCCTTCAGAAAAACTTTAGGGTCCCTCACCAATAATGAATATCTCAAAATAGTACAAAGGGGGACCCTTGAGTCGGCAGGGGGTCGAATTCCTGAGGGGAGGGGGGGCGTCCGCCTCCCTCTAAATCCGCTATGGAAACAAGGATAGACGGAATCAAGAACAAAATGTGCCGATAGCAGTAATTAAGTGGCAACAAACGAAGTGAAAACACTTATTTAAGCCGTGTGGATTTACTTAGTTCTTGTTTTGGGCAAAAGTCTTAATGTTGTTTACGCTCAAGTTTGATCTTTTATTGTTGACTTTTGTTTTCTTTTAAGTTAAGATAAAAAGAGGCAAGTTCCGCTCTTCGATTAACAAAGTGGAACTGATACAATAACAACGGGAATGACTTCTAGTTTCGAAAATAGATTATAATTTTCAGAATTCTGACGGAATAAAAAAATTATCTATTGATCCAGTTTTGTCAAATTGGGCTAATTTCATGACAAAAGCTGTCAATCTTCGCAGATTCTTGAAATTCCTAAAGCTGTAACGTGATGTATTTGTTTCTCCGAAAATTGAGAAAAACTTGAAAAAAACTTTATCCATTTTTTCGTTTTCCTTAGCTGATTGAAATTTTTCCAATTGTGTGTTGGCTAGTTTTTCAGTCTTTCGGCCGTATTTTTCTGTGCTATTTGCATAGCAACTGGCAACTTTTTGATTTTGTATTAACTCGAGTTTACTCAAGTAAACTCTTGATATATTACGAAGTTACTTTTTGCTAGGTTTTCATTCATACGGCCGGATTTTGCTGTGCCATTTGCATAGCAATTGGCAATTATTTAATTTTGTATGAGCAACTGGCAATTATTTAGTTTTACTTCTTTTTCAACCTAACTCTTACTACTGGCTCATCTTGTTAATCTTTCAATATCGTTGGACTTCAATATTGTTAATCTTTCAAGTTTTTAAAGGATCAAAGTATGTTCTCTTCGGTAGTGTGCTCTCTTATTTTCAAGTCGGAGCTCCCTTGACGGTTATTGGAGGTGTGTTTGGTAAAAACTGGGCACCGGCATTCGATGCACCCTGCCGGACGAAGAACATCAAGCGGGAGATCCCGAACACGAATTGGTACAACAGTGGTCCCTTCCAGATGTTCATCGGAGGCTTCATCTCCTTCAGCTCCATCTCTGTGCAACTTCACTATGTGTTCGAGACTGTGTGGGGCAGGGAACAGTACTTCCTCTACGGCATCCTCCTCCTCTCCTTCTTCCTGCTGCTCCTGGTCAGTGGTGCCATTGGAGTCACTCTCACATACTTCCAGCTGTCGGCCGAGGACTACAGGTGGTGGTGGAGATCTATCTTCAATGTCGGGTAAACAACTCTTCATCTGGTTTTCAGATTTATTCCTTGTTTTTTTTTGTAGATCCGTCGGTGTTAGCGCGCGATTCGTCATTGCTGATTCAGTGAACCAGTAAACATGACTGAAAAAATGATGGCTTATCTGGACATGTTTGAAGCGATGGTTGGGCAAATTAAAGGAAGGACTGAAAAGGGTATATTAGTCTTATGTATGGTGTGTTGGGTGTAGGGCGACCGGGATATTTGTCTTGGTGTACAGTGTGTACTACTATTGGCAAAAGTCACACATGAGTGGGATGTTGCAAAGTGTGGAGTACTTCTGCTACACCTTCCTACTCTGCTATATCTTCTTCCTCACACTCGGCACCGTCTCCTTCTTCGCCTCCCTCTCATTTATCAAACACATCTACAGAAACCTCAAGATGGATTGATTAACACAGCACACGCCACACATCCAAACCCACCAACATATACATGAGGATATTTGAAGACAAGACACTACTCATCGCCACACTCCCTCAGTACCAGTCTCTTTTCAGCCACCCCCCCCCCCCCCCCCCCCAGGAACCTTACTTGCAAATCAATTTGTACTCAAAATTCAACTATATTTGTGGCTGAACTTTTCTGTGTTAAGGGGTAAATCATTGCGACTAACTCAGTGTATACATCCGAAAGGAAGCGATTGTTTTAAAGTATAAGCTGCAAGTTCAAAATAGATAGTTTTTTTTTTCAAAATGATCATCTAATCGTGGGAAGGAAGCTCGGAAAGAGACTAATACGTAGTAAGCGTACTGACAGGCAGCATGTGTGCAGCAAAGTTTATAGATTTCGCATGGAAATACAAACTTAATGCCATCGAGACCAAAAACTAGATTTTTTGAATTTATTTTAAAATGAGATGAATATAATATCGCATTTTTGAGTTTAGAGAAGCAATTATGCCTGCGATTATATCATCTCATGAAAATAATTGCTCTGAAATGAGGAAAAAGTTGCACTATAAAAGCAATATAATCAACCTGTTCAGACCTAATCCATATCTTTGAGACAAGTCCCATGTCCTTAGTAAAAAGGGGAGAGAGGTTCATTTAATTAATTATTTTACTAGGACCGAAGATCTGGATCTTATAGTATTGTTCCACGTTTTTCCAAAACGTATCGTATATTATTCTGTAAATTAATGTTATGACATATCACTAAACATTCTTTGTAAATTGTTGAGATTTGTACGATGGTATTTTATCGAAGCACCATTTGTCGGTTTTAGATCGTGCACCTAGAAATTGGTGAGCTTTGAAAATTCTTTCAGAATCACTATACTTTGGGTTTCGTGTGGTTTTCTTTCGAGTGGTTTTCATTGTGTGGTTTTCATACCACTATTATAAACAGAAGCGAACAGCAAAACTGTAAAGGTCACGAACTTGATCGGCTTCTTTCCCAGCGGAATAAAATTTTATCTTATGCTCCAGTTTTCTCAAATTGAGTTATTTTTATCAAAAAAACATAATCATTAGTTGTTCTTGAAAATGAAAGAGCTTCAAGACTATTAATTTTCGTTCCGACCATTTGAATATTGGAGTGAAACTTTATATTCGGGTGTGTTTAAGTTTTTCGTTTCGACCATTTGAAAAATTTGGAGGAACTTTGTACTCGGGTGTATTTTAATTTTTTGTTTTCCATGCTAAATCAGTTTGCACAAATAATCATCGGAATGGGGTGAACGATATATCATGTTAACGCCCTTTCAGTCGTGATAAGATCGATATTAGAAAATTTTAGGAACGTTTTCTTAATGTCGAGAAAAACCAGTTTGAAAATTTTTTTTTCTGGTCTAATTTCAAAATAATATGATGAACCTGGAGGCTTGCAATAGGTTATTACATTTGCGATGCTAGTGTATTAGTACGAACCTTCTTTTTTTCCAACATAAGTCGCAAATAGTGGTGGGGCAGTTTTTTGGTGTGGCACCCCAATAATGGTGGGGCACCTTTACAGCTTTTGATAACATGTGCTTTGACATTCGAATCATAATAATTAACAGAGTTGATGCATAAAATGGACCGAAAAAAGCTATTTATTTCAAACAACATCACAATAATAAAATTTTCTAGCTCAAACTTCGCAATTTTTTGAAATGCTTAATTTATACATATTGTGGCTTTATGCTTTGCGATTTGTTACATACAAAGTTAGTGTGAATGACTTCAGTGTAATATACTCCAAATTACTAATTGCAAAATTGAGTCTATCTGTATTTGGTGCTGAAGCGCATTGGCCCTCTTATAGCATATGAAGCAGCTTTATTCATCACTTGTATTTTTTGGTTGTTAAGCTTGAGTGCCTGAGGGGATAGTGCGTGGGACTCTAAATCGCTTGAATGCATTTGGTCGCAGATTCAAACCCTACACGTAGCCGAGTTTTTTTTGCTAATTATACTTTCCTAATTAACGTGATAGCTGCTTTTTGGTTTTGGTCGTGTTCTCGCAAGTGTTTGCGAGGTTTGCGAAGCGCAGCTTTGCCTCTGTGTTTATGCTTAATTTAAGCCTATAAAACTAATTTTCACGTTGTTAAGTTAGTTTTTAAGCGTCAGTTTAGGGAACAAGAAAAAATTTTCAAACATTTCCCGAACTATTTTTGCAGAGATTTTTTGATAATCTCTGTAAAAATAGTTCGGGAAATGTTTGAAAATTTTTTCAACGATTGTTTTTCGTTTCGAAGTTATTTTTGTAGAAAAACTATTTTTCAATTGCTCTTTTTACTAACTGTTGATTATGCCTTTCTTATTTATTGTTCAGATCTTTTTACCGCACTCCGTGGAGAAAACGACGCTGATTTGAAAAAAAAACGTATGTTTTTTTTTGAGACTAGTTGGAGCATTCTGTGCTACTTGCACAGTATTCGGCTATCCTTGTTTTTCTTTTTTGTTTTCCACGCAAATTGAGGTACCATAAATATTAATTTGAATGGTTCAAGTAATATAGCATATTAACGCCTTTTTAAACAGGACTCGAAGGAAAAAATTTTCTCCGTCGACAAAGTTAGTTTTTGAAGTTTTTTATCGTCGTTTTGAAAAAAAAAATCAGCAAAAAAATTTATATCGTTTTCTGGTCATTTTCTCAAAAAATTGTCCAATTTGTTTATTGTATTTTTAGTGTCAAGTATGCCGCAGCTCTGATTTTTGGCTGAAATCCTATTATCACACCACGCAAAAACCACGACATAAATTTTTGTGTTTGGAAGTCTATTGTCGGACATTATCACTCGTCGTATAAATTAAAGATTTGCATAGTTCATCTATTAAAAATAAAAAATGTACGTTTATTGATTTGATGCGCGGAATTGTTCCCTCTTTTCTCAGAAATAAAAATGGTGTTCTATAGGAACTATTTACCCAACGAAGCATAGTGTTTTATGAAGATTTTTTTACCTACTTCGCAAATAAAAGTGCGACCATGTTTAAGACCCTTAATGCATAAGCCATTTAATAAAAAATGTTGCTTTGTTTTTGGCTAGTTTTAAGTCCTCTTTGAAAAAACATATTGGACAATGTATTGGAATTGTTGTTTCCTGTTTTTTTTTAATCGAAGCTGTGGAAAATGTTTGCACAAACCGCAGAAAAGTCTTTTTTTTCTCAAAAACTACTGTACATTTACTTAGACAAGCATAGCTTGTGTTATAGTATGATCTATCTTTTCTTACAACCTAAATCGAAAAATTGCTGCGATGCAATTGTTGCGACAAAATGTGTTCATTTTGAAAGTGTTCATTTTGTTCCGGCTTATAAGTACAGCCAATGCTAAGGGTAATAAAACAGACAATTAATTTACAATTAGCAGTTTAGTTTCAAGGTATCATAGATCTGTTGCGTAGAGATAGGGAAGGAGAACAATAACAAATCAAGAGGGTTCGAACCTGGGCAGGGTTGGATTTTTGTAATGAACTTTTTCGTTTACTAGTGAAAATGTGTCCGCTCTATAAATTGAGGTTTGTTGATCGGTAAATTTCTTTCTCTTCCATATTGACTGGAACTGCTAATTTGTCATAATTGGCTTGCGTCATTTGGCATTTATGTAGAATCGTATTTGGCGTGCGTCACTTATGAAATTTTGTATACTCAAAAGTTTTACTCGTTCAGTTTTTCACCGTAACGTTATTATCATGTATTTGCTTGTGTATGCGAATTGCAACTTCGCCTTTATTTTGAAAAATGTACCAGTGCACAAACCTGCAGCTTGTTTTTAACCTTCATTTTTCTCTAGTCTCTTTTCATAATACCCTACGTTCTACGGCCTTCGAAAGTTTCGATTGGGTGATTTTTGAGCTATTTTAAGGGTTCTTGTTCATTTTGTCAAATATTCAAAGAACAAATTGGAGAATAAGAATTCAATCAAAAGAAGAAATTAGGAGCAGTTTGTTTCCCAAGCGGTTTTTACTAAATTTCTGTTTTTCTCTTTAAAAAATTATGGCCTGAAACAAGCCCATTTTTGACATTTTGGTTTTTTTTTTGAAATTTTTCATTCTCTAATTTTTTGAAAACCCAATTATGAGACAAAAAATTCAACTTAAAAAAGCAAATTAAGGGGATTTTCCTTTCTCAAGCGTCTTTTCTCTAAATTCCGTAGAAAAAAGTTTGGGCCTTCATTAAACCCATTTTTGTTGTTTAAGTTAAGTTTTAAAACATTTTGACTTGTCTCAAAAACTGATCTGCCAAATTAAAAAAAAAAAGATTTTAACCGAAAAAAACAGTTATGTGAATCTTCCCTGCGCAAGCGACTATTTCCTGCATTTTGAAGATCAACAATGTGGCGTTAGAAAATTCCAATTTTTGAAACTTTGATCGTTTTTTCGGAAACTTTTTTTCTTCGAAATTTAACCTGCTGATTCTGAATTTGCTTATTCATCCAAACTAACATGCAGTTTAGATTTTCTCTGCGTAATCTGTTTTGTTTGTTTTTTGAAATCCTTTATTTGAAAGTTTATCTTTTTTTTAGAAAATTTTATTCATTCTTGAATACTACTAGCTAATTTTGATAGTAAGGGTTCAACATGAAAATTAGGTAATGGAGTCAAAAAATTGTCTAAGAAGGGAGTCAAAAATTGTCTAAAAAAGTAAAATATTTTTGATAGCTTTTTGGACACTCTTGGTTTTTTTCGAAAATTACCCAGCCAATTCTGAGATGAGCTCAATTTAAAAAGCGATTAATATTTTTTGCCTTAAATGAGCAGCTAATCTGCTACTTACAGAGAAAATACTAGAGTTTTCCGTAAAATCTCTTCTTTTAGTTTTTGAAAACTGCGCATTTCGGTATCAGTACTATATATTGTTGAAACTATTGAATAAAGATACATCAAGCATTAGTTGGGTCACTAGTTTGCTTCCATATGTGGCGCAGATGCGAGGTTGTGGCGCAGATGCGAGGTTGCGAAAAACAACCCCAATCATCTTGTCGCATTTTCTAATCCGGAACCTTAAAAAAAATTTTTTGAAGTAATTGAAGTAATTTTCGTTCTGCTTTATCGGTGGCTGCTTTTAGTAAAATTATAAGCGGTCGT